ATATGATCTTTACATTTTGGGCAAAATTCACGAGGACGTGTTTTCGCGGGCTCGTGACTCGGCGATTTTTACGGAATGTAGCCTAAGGCCCCGGTCAGACTTCACGCGACTTAATCGTCGCGATCTAATCGCCAAGATTTCCATTCATTTTCATTTCACATTCAAAAATTTCGGGCTGGAAAAGTATCACAACCGAATGCAAGTGATCGGCATGGAATGATGTTGTAACAGTTGTCTCGTCGCGATTCAGTCGCGATGATCAAATCGCGTGAAGTCTGCCCGGGGCCTAAGACATGCAATATTCGATGGCCCTGTGACTCTAATCTAAAAAAGCAGGCAGGCAAGTTTTTTGACAGATATGCGAGAAGGCCAAAATCCATTGGCGAGCTTAAAAAATAAAATAACCCGAACATATCGTAAAACGAGGAAAATGAAATAACCCGAACATCGAAAAACTTGCTCATAGAGATTATCCGACCTGCTCATTTTGAAACTCACATCTGCTCAGCAAGATAGCCTCGTATCCTGGGGCTATGGCGAGTAGAATTTGGAACGACAAGATTTTTCCACAATTCACCAGCCGTTCTATTTCCTTTGAAAGGAAATCAGCGGTTACTATTTAGCACATCATAATCTACAGAAAAAGTACCATCGAAAGATCCTTGCTGGGATTTACTTGGGACGATGCTCGCTGCTTCACACTGTCGCGAAAAGACGTCCGCAAAAAGATTCAAGAGTACTGATCGAAATATCAAGGGCATGTTGTATACAAAAAGATTCGCCGTGATGAGCTGAGCGAATCGCTATTTACGGATTCGAAATATACTATTCCGAAGGAAGTTATGGCGAGTAGAATTCAAAAACGCGTGATTTATCCAGTTCACCAACGCTTCTATCTCCTTTGGAAAGAAGTCTGAACCCATTTTTTTAGCGCACAATAATCTACAAAAACAGTGTTATCGAATAGTACTTAGTAAAGATGGATAGGCGTTATATGTTGGATAGGCGCTGCTTCACATACCCGCGAAAGGACCTCCGCAGAAAAATTTGAAAAAACTGGAAACGGAATATCGAAGACATTGCACCTCCACTTCCAATATATCAGAAGATTCTTCGTTCCGAGCTGAATAGAATGGTGGCTTTGGATTCAGAATTCGTCCACTCTGAAGCCAGATATGGCCACGCGACGGTGATGTCCATACATGTAGCGACATGTATGTAAAGTGCGATTCATAATTATACGAACACCCAAAATTTTGTAAGTTTTCGGACTTTTTGGGAGAAACTCAAAAAGTCGTTGGTACCAGGCGATAGAACACAGCCAAAAACGGTATATGATCGGTAAAAATGGAAACTGATGTCAATCTTAGGTGTATTTTTGCGCCTAATGCGAATTTTTAGCGGTTCATAATTATACGAACACCTCAAACAAAGGTCCATTTTTCATTCAAAATTGCAATCATTTGAGTCCAAAATTTTTTGTAGAGCTACAGTAACAAAGTCTGACATATCTGCTACACACTGAACCCAGTGCAGTTCAAAAAGAGGACCGTCACTTATTTCAGAAGGCTCTAAATGCTTTTGGAGTGATTACGCTCTAAAAACATCCGTTCTTCTGCGGTTAACGCGCTCTAATTAGCTTCTACCAAAGCTATGAGATAATATAAGCTCTTTCGATGGGTATTTTGTTTGACGCCTGAAAAATCTTTGCGTTTTCGTGCCGCTTTTCAACCAAGTTCCAACCTTACCACAGAGTTGGCGCGATTTCGAGCCTCAAAACTCATCTTCTCTCTTGCGCAAAACTTTGATATGAAGCAGCTGATTGTTTGCAGGATGATGTTTCTGTACCAAAGTTTTTGGGTTTTTGTAGAACTGATCTTGAGGCTGTGGAGCTACAAACCAAATAAAGGTGTGATCGCAATAGTAAAAACAGTGTTTTTGGTGAAATGACGTCTGCGTGGCCAAAACAAACGCTCAACGCTGCTGATTTTTTCTAGCCAAATATGCATTTTTGTGAACTTCTACATACTATATGCTTACTTCATTGTACGGCTTCAGAAGCTGAATTTTGAGGCTCGAAATCGTGCTAACTTTAGGATAAGGTTTTAACTTGTTTGAAAAACGGCACGAAAACGCAAAGATTTTACAAGCGTCAAACAAAATACCTATCAAAAGAGCTTATTTTATCTCATAGCTTTGGTAGAGGCTAATTAGAGCACGTAAACCACAGAAGAACGGATGTTTTTGGAGCGCAATCACTCCAAAAGCATTTAAAGCCTTCCAAAAAAGTAACGGTACTCTTTTTGAACTGCACTGGGTTCAGTGTGTAGCAGATATGTCAGACTTTGTTACTGTAACTCTACAAAAAAATTGGACTTAAATGATTGCAATCGTGAATGAAAAATGGACCTTTGTTGGAGGTGTTCGTATAATGAACCGCTAAAAATTTGCATTAGGCGCAAAAACACTCCTAAGCTTGACATCAATTTCCATCCTTATGGAGCATATACCGTTTTCGGCTGTGTTCTATCGCGTGGTACCAACGGCTTTTGAGTTTCTCCCAGAAAGTCCAAAAACTTACAAAATTTTGGGTGTTCGTATAATTATGAACCGCACTTTACATTTGCGTCAATATTTCAAAAAATGTGAGCGGTATTGTGCAATGAAGGAGATATTAAACAGAATGTTGTTTCAGAGTGTTGGTTTTGCAGAAGTCCCGATAGCGGAGTTTGGATTTCATCGACCGCAATCGTGCAAAACTTGAGTTTTTTTCTCAAGGAGGCTGAATCTTTGCAAAGAAAGGATATATCAACTTATTGTAGCATGTTTTGCTGAAAAAAAGAGCAGAAGAAGACGATCCCGTCAGAAAATGCGGAAGAGCTTATAGGTTGTTATAAACGCCTTATATTTGCACATTCGAATGAATTATGAAGGGGTTGTCCTTATCACATGAATAATCAAGTCCATTACGGTTTACGTTGAATTAACAAAATGCATTACTGCCTCGAAAAAAATGTGGCGGAATCTACCCCCAATAATTTTCATTCATCGATCGATTTGTAATGCCCTATACTGATGGAGGATCAGAATTCAATATAAACCGACTGGTCAGAATAACTCATACAACTAGAATCCGTCACTCGTAGAGAGTAAAATTTGCATCGAGAAAAGTAACCTCAGCATAGATAAGGTGTTATATTTTAGAATTAGTCAGCAAACATGGTTATCAGGACATTAAAGGTAGAATCAAGCTTTGTCCACAGTTGCCCGACCTGTGCCAACGCTGCATCATTATGCTAGAACAGCGCTGTTCCAGCGTCAGCACAAGGCTGCCGGAGGTCCCAATGGGCATATCATTTGATAAGGTGCGAAAAAGTGCTGTGGTCAAAAAGCTCCTTCAATTGGAAGTGTTCGTATACTCGGACATTTGTGATTAGCTCGCGCAGTAGATCCGCCTACAAAGCGGAAGATCGCGAAAAAGATGCATCCATCCTGATTTCATCATTTACCCTGATTTTTGACTTTTGAACGTATAGGCTAACGGATCCGATGTTCAACATATCATTGCGGGGAGGACATCCGCAGACATCAGTGAACAAGTTGCCAAGGGCCATCAAACTTGGAAATGTGTGCTCTGCGGATACCTTGCACGCGGGAACTGACTATTGGCATCACAGGCGTAGCAATTTGCAGCATAAGTCAGTCGGCGCTTGGCACGCAGGGACACTTTATTTAACGTTAATTCTACTGGGCCGTGAGCCGGTGCAAGTTTTTCCAGAACAAACTCGACTGTGGTAATGACAATAGCAATTATAGCTCTGATCACCTACAATGGGTGGTTAGCAGTGGTGTTGGTCTTTTCTGACTCCAGCGTTCCACATTTAAAGCATCGGTTCCCGTAAGGACAAAAAGTTTAGGTACAGCGGGCCCAAAACTGCTAAAAAATTATGTACGACGTTCCTTTGAAGTTGTATATTTCCAAAGATATGCCCATGACTTGGTTCTGCCGGTGAGAAAACATGATCAACGTTTGCTTCTTTTTACCCACCATATCTCAATAGCCACAGTAGAATGTATTTGCCTGTCAGTCAGCTTAATTCTCATATTTTCTTTTGTTTGTTAGTGATAAACGTTGATCCTTTCCGCTACAAAAACAATCACCTTTCTAATTTACCTCGACTAAGGTGACCGAATGTTTCACATTCTGTTAATTACTGAAAGTTTCACATCTTCATCTTTTGTTATGATTGAATCCTCGTCAAGCAGTGAACTTTCCGGTTAATACTAGGGGAAACAAGGCGATGTCCGAAGGGGAACTATCGCAGAAATGTGCGAGACAAGTGCGACACAAGCGCAAGGTAGGCGCGAAGCGATTATTGCCTCCCAAGGGCGCGCCTGAAGAAGCGGCGGGCCTTTGGAGGATCCTGCACGCCCTCCTTCCACTTGCAGTGCTTGCGATGGGATTGCAAACTTGTAGAATTTTTGATTTCAAAGTGTTACCAAATCAAGTTGACAAATCAGATTTGAAATATTGTAACTTCTGCAGATGAACATTTGAGACAGCGATAAAAAGGGGTTACCTGTCGTCCTTTGCTCCTAGAAAATTTATACTTTATCGTTTATATTTGCTTTATTGCTTAAATACTTGGTAAAAGAGGGCAGACAATTTCCGGAAGCTTGCAGATTTCCAAAACGAAAAATTTCTGTAGACGAGAACATAGAACAAAATGAAAAATGTTACTGAAAGCACTTTTTCCTTTGCTTTTATAAGATAGATGTTTACAGGCAAGCTGTCTTGAGTTTTCATATCACGAGCCATGTCATTTTGTTATTATCCTTCTTGCTGAAGTCGAAGCACCCCCCTCGGCCATTCTTGAAATCATAGATTTATTGGACAGACAGAAGTTCTATTCCAACAGAAACATCTTTAAAATGATAGCAAATTTCTATAGCAATCATTTTGCGCTACTAGAAAAATTGTAAATTATGTTGTTACTTTCCTATAACTTTCCGATTGGATGTGATCGCCATTTATGGGAATAGCGAGAAGAAGCTACATGAATATCGCAACACAGCACAGGTGTACATAAGCCCATGTGGAACTGCTGCACCTACTGACATATCTGACAAATGATAAGGAAACAGATATGAAAGCATCTCAATTCCGATCAAGTTTAAGTAAGTCACTGATATGGAATATCAGATGGATACAATAGCAGTAGAATTTGTAATAGTATAAATTATGAGACTTTCTTTATTTTCATGGACAAAATCATTGCAACTTCTATTCTGTCTTATTGTAAAACTATAAACATTTTTCATTAATTTTCCAAGAACATAGCTCTATGAGAGGAATTCAAATATTCGATATGTCAGTTTATGCAATCCGTTGTTTCCCCTTTTCGCTTAATTGCGAGCTCCAGTGATCCTATGTCGTAGTACTTTTTTGCTTGCTTGCCTTTAAAGATATACTCCGATGGAATTATAATGCCGATCTTTCTCTTGCAAAGCTGAAAGAAGGCTATCATAGAGCGGAGCCTTGAACGGTTATGGCTACACGAGTGATGCATTTTTGGAGAGTTGCAGGTCTGCATACATCAAATAATAAATCTTCTTACCCCTTTATAATTGCATTTATGGTAAATATTCAGCTGTGGATCAATTTCCGTCACTTCCCTGGCACTGCCTGACATATTGAAAAAGCCCGATGCATCCGTTTTGTTCTGAGCCATTTTTCGATCGAAAACTGAAAGTTTAATTTACGGAAGTGTTCACAATTTCGCTAGTATAGCCTCACATATTTCCTTTTCATACAGCTTCAGTTTGACTCCAGGAGCAGGCTTCCCATTACATTTCAGGGTGCCCATTATTCCAACAGACTGCATTCTACCAATGAGTCCGAAGAGGAGGCAAGAGCATAATGGAATGAGGCACAGTAGTATAAAAGCTCGCATCCTGAAAATGCACGCCTGATTAGTATGATGGAGGAATGGATGACAAATTACTATTTCAATATGACATTCAATTTCACAAATGGCTCCTGAACAGATTTTCACAGGCGTTGCAGGCATTTGTACACATAGAAATGCAGTGGCGAACTGTGTTCAAATATAAAATTTCCTATAGAAATCAGGTTAGCGCTGTAGAAGCTTCCCGGTAAAGCCAGCAAACTACTTACTAAACTTGGCCAATTTTACTCCTTATCCAAAAAATATTCATCGCGCTTTTCCTGTTCTTCCTGTCCACCAATAAAATTTTGTGTGACCCGAAAATTTCCTTAATTTTAAGTAGTTCTTGAAAGGTAAAATGAAGTTACTACGTTATTTATTTTACTTACCATAATTAATCAAAAAACTTTTTTCCTATAACAATTAGTACCACCTATACATACTATAGTCAGCAAGTTCTCACTTGTGACCTGTTATAATAAATTTGGCCACTACATCGCCATGCAGTAGCTGTTGCTGGCACTTGTTATCGTGCCTACCCACATCCTGAAAGATCTTTGTCTCGTTGGCAGTGTCGCCAATGATCGTCGCGAATCAGTTGCGTTCACCTCATTTGGGTCTTGCCGCGTTTGCATTATCTTTTGTGAACATTCCATGCTGAGCATGGAGAAAGCCTACGCATCTTTCAGAGCTCAAAAGCTCCCAAAAGCTCTTAAGAGAGCAAAAAAGAGCCAGAACATCGTCTGCGCACAAATGCTGGCGCGAGCTAAATTTCCAACCATTGCTCAGTAAAAACGGCTAAATTTGCCCATATTTATCAAGGTGGGGTTTCCATCATGCTCAGTGTCGGCTCAAACTTACTGGGTTGATGCATAATTCTTGCATTAAATAACCGCAGTAGTTAACGTTAATTTTGATCTCAGATAACTTCTGCTATGTGTTCGATAAACCGAAGTCAGTTATCTTATATATAAAGCTGAATGTCTGTTTGTATGTCTGTCTGTATGTCTGTCTGTATGTCTGTCTGTATGTATGTATGTATGTATGTACGTATGTTCCGAATAGAAAATTCCATTTCTGAACCGATCCGGACCAAACTTGGCACACATACACTACGGGCCCCGGCGGGTGTCATAGGCTACTTTTCCTCATCGATCGATATCGATTTTATCGATTTTTATCGATTTTTTTGCTGAGTTCACCTACGGGGCTGGGAGTTGGCACAGGGGGGTAATCGAGCATGGGGATTCCGAATACAATATTGGTTTTCAGGATTATCGATTACTTTTATCGATTTTATCGATTATTTTGCAAAGTTTGAGCTACGGGGCTGGGAGTTGGCACAGGGGGGTAATCGAGCATGGGGATTCCGAATACAATATTGGTTTTCAGGATTATCGATTACTTTTATCGATTTTATCGATTTTTTTGCAAAGTTTGAGCTACGGGGCTGGGAGTTCGCGCAGGGGGGTAACCGAGCATGGGGATTCCGAATACAATATTGGTTTTCGGGATTATCGATTACTTTTATCGATTTTATCGATTTTTTGCAAAGTTTGAGCTACGGGGCTGGGAGTTCGCGCAGGGGGGTAATCGAGCATGGGGATTCCGAATACAATATTGGTTTTCGGGATTATCGATTACTTTTATCGATTTTATCGATTTTTTGCAAAGTTTGAGCTAGGGGGCTGGGAGTTGGCACAGGGGGGTAATCGAGCATGCTGATCATCCCCAAGGGGGTGATCAGCATGGTCGATTACACCCCTGTGCCAAATTCCAGCCCCCTAGCTCAAATTTTGCAAAATCGATAAAATCGATAGAAGTAATGGATAATTCCAAAAACTAATATTGTATTCGTAATCTGCATGCTCGATTACCCCCCTTTGCAAACTCCCAGCCCCGCAGGTCAAACTTTACAAAAAAATTGATAAAATCGATAAAAGTAATGGACGATCCTGAAAACTAATATTGTGTTCGTAATCAGCATGCTCGATTACCCCCCTGTGCAAAATCCCAGCCTCGCATGTCAAAATTTACAAAAAATCGATAAAATCAATAAAAGTAACCGATAATTCTGAAAACTAATATTGTATTCGGAATCCCCATGCTCACTTCCCCCCTGTGCCAACTCCTAGCCCTGTAGGTGAACTCTGCGAAAAAATCGATAAAAATCGGTAAGATCGACATCGATCGATTATGAAAAGTGGACTGTGACACGCGCCGGGGCCCGAAGTGTATGTGTGCCAAGTTTGGTCCGGATACGGCGGAGCCGGGTAAGCCAGCTAGTACAGGATAATCAAACGTTCCTGATCTCAGGTACCCAACTGCGAATTCTAGCTCGATTTCTTGTTATATGTGTTTGCTAAACTCGAGGCCATTAAACCAACAGAGACAAAAGTTTTTGCTTCTGACCAGAAGTCCTGATAGTTACTTTTTCTTAGTTTCCTTGAAGAGGAGAGAAAGTTTATTTTTTATTTCGTTCCACTTCTTTAACCTGGGAGAACGGAACCAACTTTTTGTTTTCCCAATCAAAATGGCCCATGATAAAGCTTGACATCATACGATCTGAAATGGAGGCCTCAGATAAGATCCGTAAATTGAACTGACAAGGCATTTTCATATGCTATGAAAATGTGACCTGACCTGACATGAGCGTCAGAGCACATAATGCATTGATCTCACCTAACTTCCGTGAGAGCAGCGTCGATTTTGAGATAATCTTAAGAAGATAATGTGCAAGGGATGGGACGCAGAGAAAAATACCGTAAGTCGCTCGTGAGTAAATTACGGGATACTTAATGTGACATAATATTGCGGGCTAGAGTGCGCGAAACTGCACGTTTTCGGGGCCGTATGGGAAGGAATAATCGATGAACATATACAGGGCTTTACAACCTGAGTGTCCCACCCGCCCCGCTAGGCCGCCACGCTTAGGTCCGCGCAGCGTTCGTGGCGCTGGCTGCGCGTCAACTGAAGCTTGGCGAAATCCGGGCGATACGCAGCAAACGCCGCGCGCGGCCTGAGCGAGGCGGCCGCGTTGGAGGAGCCGCGCAAGCGAAACCTGCGACTCTTAGGTTGAAAAGCCCTGTAACTGATAACTGATCATAGCCAAAAATAGGGGGAAACTAATTTTTTCTCCTTTTGTATGGTTGGCCTTATTTTCGTAAGAAACTGTGTTGAGTGAAACTTCTACCTTTATCCCATTGTCTTTCTGTTCAAAGATTGTGGTTTTTCATGGGAATTTGCTAAAATATCGTTAATTTGTTTTGTTTACCAATTTGCTAAGTAAACCTCTTGATTGCGGCCTTCATCGAATTTTTGTTACTGGCAGCTATTAATAATTACGTGCTGATGCCACAAAAAGTAATACCACAAGACGATTTCGAACGACGGCCGCTGGCTTTGCATCGCACTTAGTTACCCATTTGACCATGCCAGAACAAACGGTGTCACTGTTTCTTCTTTGAAGGCGCGCATCTTTGTCATTTCTATAAAACGATCAACATCCAGATCAATAGCTCGCTGGATGCCGGAGCCCTAGGAACAACTCAGGTACGCCTGAAGGGAGATGCCTTACCAACTTACCAATGGGCCATTCTTTCTATAGTTTTTTGTATAATGAAACTTCTGCAATAGCTTGCGGTCAGAGACTCTTTACATCACAATGTACAACAAACAATCGTACAGGTTACGTTGAGATTGACTCGAAAGTTTGATCGTGTCGTGCTTTTGTACACAACTCTCTACCTATTACTGTGCAGTTTCAAAACTTTTGCGCGTTTACAAAAATTTTGGTGGAATCTCCTGAGGAAAATTCGGGAGCCTCTCTTGTCTTCCAGACACAGCACCTCGTTAAATTCACTTCTGCGGAAACAACAGCAACAAGTAAGAAACCAGAAAAAAGGGCTTTTAGAGGGTATGCAATACAACATTTCCCATGGAAGATCTTTTCCTCCTTGTAACAAGCGCTCTGAAGAAAGTGACGTAAAAAGCGGTAGTGATTGTGTTTTAACCCAATAATAAATCGAAAAACTACACAGATGTTTGCTGACTTTGTGGCTTATAGAGCTAATGAGCACAATAAATCAAAAGCGCCTCAAAATCAAAATTGACTGTACTTTTGTTCAAATTCAAAAATTCCCGCCAAGTTCGATTTACGCGGATTTTGAAGTAGAAAATTGAGAAACTCATGGCTTTTGAAGCTCATTCTTGCTTGCACTTGCATATATAATACAATCCATATCGAGCACTAGCTAGCATATCCGGCTCCGCCCCCCGCCAAATCTAATGATAAAGGCCCATCCCTATCCTTGTACAAGTCTTTCTTGTGCCCATCCACGGGCCAGTTTCCTAACCCCTTTTTATTTTCGAAATCAGGAAAATCGCCCACTTACCCCTGTGCCATTCTCAGTCCGTAGCTCGAACTTTGCAAAAAATCGTAGGAGTAATTAATCATCGTAAAAATAATATTGTATTCGTGATCAGCATAGCCATTTACTTCTCTGTGCCAACTCCAAGCCCCATAGCTCAAATTTTGCAAAAATCGATAAAATCGATAGCAATCGATAACAATAGTAGCCTACGACACCTGCTCCGCCCCAAAGTTGTACAAAATTTGGTTCAGATTCATTTAGAAATTTGTATTAGGAACATACGTACTGACAGACAGACATACAAACAGACATTTAGCTTTAAATATAAGAATCATGTATGCAAGTGCTGTAGTTTTTTTTCAGGAGTCGAGAAAAGGAAGATTGATGTTTTTATCAAATCATTGCTGAGCTAATCGTTGACAGGTGTATATTACGAATATTTGAAAAGACGACAACGAGAATTACATTCTTGACGGTTTCGCATGAAAGCAGATAAGGAAAGCTATATTCGGTAATTCTCGTGACCTAGCTCTCAAGGTGAAAATGTGTCATTCTATTTCATAATTATTGCAGTATACAACTGCTTACAATAACACGAAATCCTCGTTTTCTCAATCTCTAACCGAGAAAAAAGATACAGCAACCACATATTTGA